ACTAAACCGTACATGCAAAAACACTTAACACACAAAAAGCTGAAGCAACTAACCGTGCAATACATGCAACTGTACCTAGCAATGTAACATTTACCAGAAACTACAAAGGAAGGGTACATACAGCTATACACAATGTAAATAATGGCCCTAGAGAATCCATCGTTAAACTCTGTAAAGCGGCTGGGATTCCCATTTAACCAGGAAGTCGAGCTGCACAGGGTCTGAAAATCATTCAACGACACAATGAAAAACATAAATTATACAAACAGACAAAGCGGTACACAGACCAGAGATCATCTAAAAAGCATGCACTCTATGAAATATATGATGAATATCAAGAGGAAAAGTACTATGAGAAAAACAAACTTTTACAGACAAAACAGCTGGCCGCAAAACAATCCTCAAGAGTATTCGTTTGCCAAAAAACTGAGATCAAGACATGTTAAAAATAAATAAACTACCTGCATCAAATAAGACAATACGGTAATGACTTTTTGTACACTGTTTTATCCGTCTACAGAAAATTCTATCTATGTTTATACTAATTGCGGCTCTAAAATCAGGTGCTCCAGATTTATACATTTAGCAGGTTAACGCAAAGGTGTGAAATATCTAAATGGTCACCGTTTGCAGAGTAACGGGGAAGATTTTCTTTTAATATTTTTTTATCCAGCATATAAGATAATCTGCGAGCTCTTTCAAGAGTTCTAGTGCCATCAGGCCAAATTACAACTTTTTTTTCACATAGACCCCATGCTCTAAAGCTCCTATCCACACTGTACAGTCATAATTTCCATAATTTTTTTACACTTTTCTTAGACAAAGCTAACGCCAATGCATTCCAAAATGATTCCATGTTGATTCTGCAAAAATGAAAACCCAAAAGGTGTCCAAAATTTGATTCCGAAGAAGGCTGAGTGATAAATTCCCATTATTTACCTTATAGGTTGCACTTGTGTAAAATCAGCAATGCAATTTCCCATTGAAACTGCCTAAAATGCATATGCAGTCACTCTTCATTCAGGAAGTTTTGAAGATAATGTTATATTTCCCTGGAAAGGAGACATGTACTCCTTTTTTTTTGCACCAATAAAAACATATAGCTGTGCGGCATATTTTCAAGTTTTAATGGCCTCCATTTATAAACATTGTAGGATCGCACTGAATTTTTCCATAAAATTTGACTCAACACCCATATGTCTTCCAGTCCTCCTGAAAAATAAGTTGAATAAATAGACATTTTTATTTCTATCCATTTAGTTCTCCAATCAAGTCTTAATCAAAAACAAAATAGTTTGCATCCATAGCAACAACCACGTAAACAGTAGCAGCATTGATATGCATTTTAAATTTCTCCCAAAAGGGTCGTGACTTGCAAATCACACGTGATTTACAAAGTGCTAACCTGTAAATCCTAAAATATAGTTGATCTATTGCTTATAGTATTAGAAAAAAGACCAAAAACAAAAACTTAACTTTAACCACTGAACCATTAAAATGAGGTCAAGGTCAGATGACACCTGCCAGTTGGACATGTACACCTTACAATCATTCCATACACCAATAAAATGCTCCGCTGGGGCGCAGCTTGATACGACCGCAGAGGTCGAACCCTGAACAGTTGGGGCAAGTATGGACACAACATTCAAGCTTGATACAGCACTGAATTTAGATTGTGATTAAATATTTGACACAGCATAGGTTTCTGACACAGAATGAATGTGGTCTAAGAACTTAAAAAATTTTAATTTACCTATTCAAACCATATCATTATTATTTGCTTTTATATATAAATCAGAAATAACCAATTTAAAATGGAAAATTTTAAAGAAAAAAAAATCCCTCCACTAAATTTTTTGAGCCCCCTTATGATTCATCACCCCCAAACTCAATCCCAGCCTCCCCCTTGTGGTATGGTACCTTGCAGTACAATTTCAGAGAGATCCATACACTTGAACACAAGTTATTGTCTGGAAACTAGAAAAATGCTTGTTTTTAGGCCCCTTTTTGGCCCCAAATTCCTAAATGTTTAGGGCAATTACCCCCAAACTCAAACCCAGCTTTCCTTTTGTGATATGGAACCTTGTAGTACAATTTCATAAAGATCCATACACTTACACACAAGTTATTGTCCTGAAACTAGAAAAATGCTTGTTTTTTTTCCCTTTTGGGCCCCTAATTCCTAAAATTTTGAGGCAATTACCCCTTAAACTCAATCTCAGCCTTCCCTTTGTGGTATGGTACCTTGCAGTACAATTTCAGAGAGATCCATACACTTGAACACAAGTTATTGTCTGGAAACTAAAAAAATGCTTGTTTTTAGGCCCCTTTTTGGCCCCAAATTCCTAAACGTTTAGGGCAATTACCCCCAAACTCTAACCCAGCTTTCCTTTAGTGATATGGAAACTTGTAGTACAATTTCATAAAGATCCATACATTTACACAGAAACTATGAAACTAGAAAAATGCTGGTTTTTTGCCCCTTTTTGGCCCCTAATTCCTAAAATTTTGAGGCAATTACCCCCAAAATCAATCCCAGCATTCCCTTTGTGGTATGGTACTTTGCAGTACAATTTCAGAGAGATCCATACACTTGAACAGAAGTTATTGCCTGGAAACTAGAAAAATGCTATTTTTGGTCCTAAACGCAAAAATCCATATACTTACACACAAGTTATTATCATGAAACTAGAAAAATGCTTGTTTTTTGCCCCTTTTTTGGCCCCTAATTCCTAAAATTTTGTGGCAATTACCCCCAAAATCAATCCCAGCATTCCCTTTGTGATATGGAACCTTGTGGTACAATTTCAGAGAGATCCATACACTAACACACAAGTTATGTCTGGAAGTTACAAAAATGCTTATTGTTGGCCCTTTTTTGGCCCCTAATTCCTTAACTGTTGGTACCATAACCCCCGAAATCAATCCCAACCTTCCTTTTGTGGGATTGAACCTTATGGTAAAATTTCATGGAGATCCATTCACTTAAACTAAAGTTAGAGTGTGAAAACCAATGTGTCTTCGGACGACGACGCCTGACGACAACGACGACGACAACGCCAACGTCATACCAATATACGACCAAAATTTTTTTAATTTTTGCGGTCGTATAAAAATATAGTAGACCTTTTGTTTATCATATCTAAGATATGGACTTGACCACGAAAACTTAACCTTGTTCACTGATCCATGAAATGAGGTCAAGGTCATATAAAAATTGTCAGACACAAGTACCTTGCAAGGTACGCACATACTAAATATAGTTATCCTATTACTCATAATAAGCAAGAAATCAACATTACAAAAAATCAAGTAGTCACTGAACCATGAAAATGAGGTCAAGGACAATGGACATATGACAGACGGAAACTTCATAACACAAGGCATCTACCTACAAAGTATGAAGCATCCAGGTCTTCCACCTTCTAAAATATAAAGCTTTTAATAGTTAGTTAACGCCACCGCTGCCGCTGGATCACTATCCCTATGTCGAGCTTTCTGCAACAGAAGTTGCAGGCTCGACAATAAAACCATTGGTGAAAAATATTATTTTGTTACATTAGTGAATAGTGACTACGTGACTAACAGATAAAATTTGTGCTTCGTTTCTGTTGATCGTTTTTTAGCGGATATTTGTTCAGACTTTTGTGAACATTTGGTATTTGACTGTCCAATTGAAATCAAAATGAATAACAGATTATGATTGCCTACTATAATTTCTTTTTTCTTCTATATATAATCGATAATGTATGAGATTTCAAATGAATACAATATCTCAGAAACCAAATATCATTCATCAATTGTGAATGCAAAATGTGGAAAAAAGTTATTCTTTATTAGAAATACTCAACGACCAGTATAGTCGTCTGATGATCTGTAATTTTGTGTTTTATTCCTGCTTGTGACAACTTGACTTGGTGTTAATTCGCATGGAGGGTGATGCATGGATAATAGGAGACACTTGCCCTGTCGACCCACCTGGTCTTGCTCCTTTTGAAGTTCATGCGATTCACTCAGTTTTTGTTTGTTATATTGATCTGTCTATTTAGAATCCATTTACGAGATTAAAACATCGGGTAAACTCCTGTTGCTTTCAAACTGAGCATAGGCTGGTTGCTCTCTTGTTACATATGGGTATCTCAGACACCCTTGGTGGGGTCTCATTGATTAGCGACAAGAAGTGTCAAGAAGAACAACATTAGCAACAAGAAGAAAAATATTAGCAACAAGAAGAAAAAAACAGCAACAAGAAGACAAATTAAGCGACAAGAAGACAAATTAAGCAACAAGACTTGGTGTATCGATCTGAAATAGAAAATATGCTATTTGCGGGCTCTGATTGAAATATCTTTCTGTATTAATGGCTATTTTGCTGACGTCGGCAATATAATAAATTTGTTATTATAATAATTTAATGTTTACTTTTGAACACTGTCAACACAAAGGAGTCAAATTATTATCCGACCCCAGTATTTTTAGTAACGATTTTCCTTATCAATAAATAACTTTTAATTTTCGCACATTAAGAAGATAAATGAAATATACTGGCTAAAAGTGATGTTAATAGGTCCTCGGCCGGTTTCGGGTCCGTTTGCCCTAAAAACATATGTTCGCCCTTGGTTCGTTCAACCAGTACTCATATAGATAAACAAGGATAAGATTTTTAGAGGGGCGTAAAGGGTGGGTATCTGCACGGAAGAACGCGAAATAAAATTGCCATTTCACGATGAACAAATAATTGAAAATTTCTTGCACGTTGATCTTTTTACCGATTTCACGAAACACAGTGAATAACTAACCTTTTTCACAGCTGCACATGAAATAAAAACGGCAAAACACGTTGCATGAAAATAACCCTTTACCACCCTCTTTTTAAATTGTTGATTTTGGATTGAGCATTCCTGATGAAAGTAAATAAGGAAAAGCACTTCTGACAAATTAAAAAAATTTAATGTTTTATTTTCATTGATGTGCAACTTATGTCAGATTAAAACTAAAACTCATATTTTACTACATTTATTCCAAGGCACAGTCCATCTTTAATACTGACAACATATATGCATAGACAAACAAAGGAAATAACCTGTAGCTTTTCATCCCAAAAGTATCTCTGATATTATGATTTTTTTTCACATGCTCGTTTCTAAATTTAGAACATGCATGTAATTCTTGCCACTGGACATCAAACATTAAACAAACAACAATAATCTATCAAAACGTAGGTAAAACAGTTAATTTGAAATCCTTGTGAAGATCAAGGGGGTCACTAGTCTATAAAAAATCTTTTGATATTTTTATCACGGAAAGGTTATATTAAGGTGGTACATAACACTACAGGGAGATAACTTTGTAAAAATCAGCTGAACGTTTTAATCACCTTCAATTATTTTATAGGAAATATTAAGCTTCTCAATGATTAAAATTAGTGTTTGTCAAACTGCTGTATATCCAATGAAATTTTTCTGATAAAGTGTGTGGTTCAAGTTTTTTGAAATTTTTATATATTTGTCAAAGGGTCAAAGTAAATATTTTGTCAAAATTTTATGAAAATTAAACGAGCCAAATTAATTTTAGTCAAGGTGTTTGGTACCACCTCAATTACATATAAAATTCCTTTGGACTGTTTAAACAGATGCATATTCTTGCTGAAAACTCAAATGATTTAATACAGAATTTAAAATATCTTTGTTTTGTGGTAATAGGCATTGTGAATAAGTTTCATAACATTTGGTTGAGGCAAACTAAACTAGAGGACAGAAACCAATTCTAAGCGACATACAGACCGACATGGGTAACACTTAATGCCCCCTCCAGTGATGGATCAGACATATAAATATTAAGACTCTACCACTAAGAGGGTTACTGATATAAATCAATCTTTTTTTAGAAAGTACTGATTCCCATGATAGAGAACTCTGTAAAACTGAACAAATAAATTTTAAATAACAATAAAAAATTATTTAAAGTACAGAGATATGCCCTTGGAGCGGCAATTCTTCTATTTATAAAAATATTTTTAATTATCATGAAAATGTGTTAAAAAATATAAGGATAATGGTTTGTTAATTTAAAAATCTTAGAAATCTTATCAGATCTATAAAAAAAATACTAATGTACCTACAATCAAGCAAACAAATTTAAAAAGTTAACAATTCAATAAACAAGTACTTGGTAAGAACAAGAATGAACAACAGTAATCAAAACATCCATCCTTTGTTCTTAGAAACATATCATAAATATATATAACTTCATATAAACATAACGTTTTTTAAATAAAAATAAAATTGTTAAAAAAAAAAATTTAGATGCATAAAAATATAATATAAAATATAATATAATCACAGATTAAGTATTTAATTCATTCAAAACAGTGAGGACACAAAAATGTTTCACCTGTTTAATGAATCTGTACAAATAAATATATCAAGAAAATAAAGAAATGGATCAAAGACAAAATTAAAACATTATTAGGATACTAAAACTAAATAAAACATGTTTATGATTATTTTCATGTCTCTATTGATAAATGCTGTAAAAAGACAACCCCCCCCCCCCCCCCCCCCCCCACAAAAAATATATCTAGACTGATACCCTCAGCAGACGGCTGAAAATAGGATTATATGTAACACATTTCAACATCCTATAAAATAAAATAATCTTTCTAAAAGATTTTCATCAAGGCACTATTAAACAGTACTGTAAATTCAGAAATTATTACGAGGTTTTTATCAATGTGAATAATGCGACTGAATGCATATCGCAATAATAAGAAGTTGCATTATGCTATCTGATACATATGTCTGTAGGCAGCTCTTCCCGAAATCGCAATGATTAATCTTGCATTTTCCTCCATTCTAAAAAAAGTGCAATAATAAATGCATGCAATAATTTCTGAAATTTACAGTATATCACAGATAATATATGACAATATTAATTGCAGCTAAATATTAAATAATAATTGTCAACACTTTTTGGCAGTAACTTTTTGAAAGCATAATCAAATATATGCATATATAAATATATGGACCTATTGATGAAGGACCAATCAGTTGGGTTTTTTTTCCATACTTGACAACTGGATAGGACTTCAAGTTTTAAATCAAGGATTTCAATAATTTATAACGACATGTCAAGAAATGAACCATCTGCCTCCAAATCTGAATTTATAAAATTACCCCATACATATTTATACCTGAAACCAAACCAAGTTTAAACATCAAAAGGTCAATGTTATATTTACTTTAACTGTTTAAAGAGATGGACTATTAATAAATTCTGAATTAGACTTAAATTAAATAAATCAAAAACAGTGTCTGCTGCAATCTATTATTGCTTAAAAAACTGTATTATTATTTATTCTACAATTAAAATAACAATTTCATGTATAGAATTTGAAAAGCAACTAACTTTCAATATTTTATTAGTTTAATACTGATTAGTCATAAGCATTTAATTATTTATTCTAAATAAGCAATCATACAACATCTCCTTATTTTTATAAAATCACATTTATTGGGATAAAAATTACTTCTTTTAGCCCAAATAACAACAGGTGTTTACATTTAATTTTATGTAACTTAGTGTAAGTAGACCTGTTTCCAATGGGTTGTTATCCCTAAGATCACTGTTCCCATCCAAAGTTAGGAGATAGGGACTCCTTGTAAACTAGATGATTTACATTTCTTAAGTACAGAAATCAATTTGTTAACTATTTGCTTGACATTTTATAAAGAAATTGTCCAATAGAATCAAACTCTCTTACACATCTGCCAGCAGAATATGATTATATGAACTCTGCAACCAATTAAAAGAAATGTTCTTTCTGACCACTGTCACTTCTATACACACATAACTTGTTCTTTCATTGGCTGACAGTAATTGACCATGTGATCCCTGTAGTCAGGAGTAACTAAGTCAGAACTTTTGATGCACTGCTGTAATGCATAGTCACAATTGATTGTTTCATCTGAAAAGAGAAAAAAACATGAATGTTTTGGGTTCGTGTGTGTCATTCTAAAAACTGAGAGCACTTCATGGAAGCAAAGAGTCTAAAAAAAATTGAATATTCTGCAATGAAAGTATTCATTGATTTAAATTTATAACCGATTATGAAGATTTTGATGTTGACAGACATTTCAGAGCTTAATAACTGCTAAAATCAAAATGGCTATGTTCATCTAAAATCTATTTACTTTTTAAAGCTCATTTAATAAACCAATTTAAAATTCAGAGACATAATTATTGATGACTTTAATTTTGTGCTTAATGACAATTTGCAAAACAATCACTTTAGGTCTGTTACATCAAAAATTATACTAATTTATAACATGAAGATTTTTTACTTCCTTCAATGACAGACAAATTCCAAATTAGTGTATCAATTATATCTAACTCTCTAACATAAGACCATTTGTATATGAAAACCAACATACTTGACTCTTAAGTATTATGACTAAGTTGATCTTTTAACCTATAGATATTGGATAGTCCAAAACCATCAACTCTAAATCTCACATAAAAAATTAATAATATTTCATCAACAATAAAATATCTCTCTTACCTGAACTCAACATAAAATGTAAACCTATGTAAACTGGACCCGGAAATACATTAAAACTAATTAGTTATTTAACCTTATAATTATGTGAACTGGATACCTGTCTAAGGCAAAAAAAAAATTCATTTCTAGAAGGGTTTCAAATTAAATAGGTTTACTTTTATTAGAATGAATAATAAGTGCTGTGTGCATTTCAATTAATGTTTGTGTACAGACTTCAACAAATAAGATCTTATTTATACATTACCTTTGTTTATCCATTTATCTTGAGCTAAATACATAACAGCAGGTACACAATATTGGGCTACTCCATACTGGTCAGGATTCATGGAGTTTGACATCCACACTGGTAACATCAAATGTGTATAATGCTGTAAAAAAAATGGTCATAAATAACTTAACTTAATGAATTAAGATAGAATAGAGAATGGAAATGGGAAATATGTCAAAGAGACAACAACCCGACTAAAGAGCAGAAAACAGTCCAAGGCCACCAAAGGGTCTTGTGTGCAGCGAGAAAATCCCGCACCCAGAGAAGGGCTTCAATTGGCCCCTCAACAATAATGTATACTAGTTCAGCTAAATGGACACCCCACTAAACTCCAAAACTTATAAATGAACCAAAATTTTTAAAACAGCTGAGTTGGGACAGATGCAGAAATACAACAGGATTAAACATGTTTTGTGAGATCTCAACTCCCCCCTATACCTCTAGCCAATGTGGATTAAACAAACACAAAGCAATATGCACAGTAAAACTCAGCTTAAAAGAAGTCTTTATACACTTCAATGAGACAGTGACCTAGCAACAGAGAAAAATAAAAATATCTAGAGGTCAACATGAATCCTTCAACAATAGACAAATGTCTACACACTATGTCAAGCTTTACATATACCTAAGACTATAAAAATTGTAAATAAATACAATAGAGATCATCAATTTTGACCATCAATGCAGTATTATAAAAATTAAAACAAGAATATTCAATCTGATCTTGACAATCTATCAAAACTAATGAATATCTAATTTTGAGTAAATGGTCTAATACAGTAAAGAGTTATTTCCTTGACCAAAGACAAGCAAAAACCAAAATATCTTTGGAACCCAAAGTGTGAATGTCATGTAACATTTAGTTTGTTCTAACAGGATTGTATGTTTACTAGATTAATGCATTAAATGAAATACAGAATACTTTTGAAATTACTGTTATTTCAATACACATGATCCATTTCTGCAATAACTTTCATTTAGAAATGCTGAGGTTAAAAAGTTCAGCATATAAAATACATAAAAATTTATTAGCATTAGAACAAAAAGGTAAAATAGAAGACCCAAAACTATCTACCAATAAGGTCAACTTTGCCTGGAGAGGTTAAGATAGATAAATGTGTGAGATATATGCTTTTAAAAAAATCTAAAAATGTTGGTGGAAAATATATTTGTAGGTTATTTATGAGAGAATTCAATGTAAAAATGAAAGAAAATTATACAGAAAGTAACATTCGATATATTGAATGATTGATATTATTTAATGAGACTTTTGTATATGTGTATATCATCCATCATATATTCTGTCTTTACATATATTTACTAAGTTTCTAACCTCTGGATATCCAGTGTGATTATCTAATAACTGTAATTCTTCTGCCGTTATCTGGTAAATTACACCTTCAACTGAACAAAATGGGTTCAACTCAATATTGGCAAAACCTCCTGCTTCAACATCTAAACCTGAAATATAATTCATTAATCTAATTATATAAAACCTACTGGCTAGAACACATAAACCTAGAATATAACATCAATATGGGCAAAATCCTCCAGCTTACATATTAATTACAAATTTAAATCTTGTGAAATCCTATTTTGGACCCTTCCTGGGGACATCATTTCGACACAAATTTGTCCTTCTACACAGTCCCTCAACTCTTGTTGGTATTTTTCTTTTTGGTCATGTTATTGTCTGTTAATCATAAACTTATTTTTCTTTTTGGTCATGTTATTGTCTGTTAATCACAAACCTATTGTTCTTTTTGGTCATGTTATTGTCTGTTAATCATAAACATATTTTTCTTTTTGGTCATGGTATTATCTGTTAACCATAAACTTATTTTTCTTTTTTTGTCATTGTTATTGTCTGTTAATCTTAAAATTATTTTTCTTTTTGGTCATGTTATTGACTGTTTATCTGAAAATTATGGTTTTTCATTTACCCGTTTGGTTTCTTCTCATGTTTTTTTATAACCTGGTAAATTACAATTCTAATGATATTATTGTGTATCAATGGTTCTGATTGGGAGACAATTTTTTCAATGTCATCTTTGTATTTATTTGATGCAAATTTGTTTTAACTTATGCAAACTTTTGGATTTAACATTGTTACTGTCTTCATATGTATCATATAGATATTATACTACATGTACAATAAAACAGTACAATTTAATTTTCAAATTTCCTGATTAGCAGTAAAATTCTGAACATCTCTGTTGTTGAGCATTTTTCACTAATTTTGGTTATTCAAACCTTTTTGTTCTATTTATTTCTCTCAATTCCAAATCATACAGTAATATCTGTTGTCTGTCTCCATGCCCCAACTTATTTTAATTACAACAAAACCATTGATTGACAGACTATCAGAATTAAAATTGTAAATTCCAGTGAATCAACGCAGTACATCTGATCCTTATGCTAACTAACATATATATATAAATAGAGCATTCTATAATCTATCTGATGACAAACCTTTTTTGTTGAACACAAGCTGGAAACCATACAAAAGTCCCCAATATCTGCAGTTCACTTCTCTTTTTAAGTAAGCAGATACCCTGAAATAAAAAAAATAAACACATTAAGTTTTTTAGGTTTTTTGTCTTTCAGTTGCTGTTTGTTTGATGATACCAAACATATCTTTTTATTTATCAGTATAAAGGCACTGACTGGCTAAAAGACTTTTTATACATTTAAAAGTGATGCATCTTGGAATACAATTAAAGGTTCTTGTTAACACCATTAGAATTACCAAATGACAATGGAACATACCATAATATATGCATAGACGATTTTAAAATGTTAATTTTAAGGAACACCATGCAGACTTCTAATACACAAAGTGAAATGTGTTGCTGTTCAGTCTGTCGATAATGACAACTATTCTGTGAATGGATATTTAAAGCAAAAAGATTAATCTTGGATGCCTATTCAGTATGTTAAGATGTGGACATTATTTAAAGAGAATGTGAAAGCTACTTTGTACTGGACCAACACATTGGTTCAAAAAATAAAAGTATACAAGAAAATAGGTCAGTTTATCCAGACATATTCATACTCTTAAGCCAGCCATTCCTTATTCTTACCCCTACATACTGTAAATTCAGAAATTATTATGAGGTTTTTATTAATGAAAATAATGTGACTGGGTAAGTATAGCAATAATAAGAACTTGTATTCTGATATTTGATACATATACATATGTATGAAGCTTTTCCCTAAATCGCAAATTATTAATCACATATTTTTGTTCAGTCTTCAAAAATCTCAATAATAGATGCATGCAATAATTTCTGAATTCACAGTACCAAAAACACAGCATATCTTTTGGAGTTGGCACAGCCAAGGATCTAAAGTGAAACTTACCTAGATGGGTTCATGTCAGGTCCATAAGCAAAGTAATATAAATATCCTGTAGGTGCTCTAGCATTCAAAGTAAAACACAGAGGAGCAAATGGTGCAACTGGTTCCTTCTTCGCTGGTTTCTTCACTTGTCTATAGTTCAAATTTAAAAAGTTTGTTACATCTACTTATTCTGCAACTGTACTATTTGAACAGTCAAATTGTATTGACCATATATTCATTCATTTTATACAGTCACTAACTGTAAATTGCCTTGTTTGTGACATTGAGAACATTTTTCAGTAGAGTTTTATTTATGACATCAATAAAAAAATACAATTTTGCGCTGTCTGCTTCAAATTCAAAATCGATAGTTTTTCTTAAAATATTGCATTTGGTACAGTTTTAATATTTGCAGTATAAAGAGAACAACCATACATTGTCTTGTAATCTTTAAATCTTATTTGTACTCAAAACAGGATAGAAATGCTGGGCAAATCCTCACATTCAACCTGTTTTTAAGCCAGGTACAAATAAATTTTATATGTCCAGGCAATGTATGGTTATTCTATATATAAATATACAATATTAGGTCAACATCAGAAGATATTAACTTTTTTTTTAGGCTTAGAAACTGGGGAATGGTGATGTTTACTGAGCCTTTCAATAGTTTTGTGCTGAATATATGAAAAAGGTTTTATTTTTCTGACATTTATCTAATATTGTTTTTATACTCCAGCAAAAAATTGCTTAAATAATAGCCATTCAAATCTCAACAAAAAGATTAAACTTATAATCAAGCCCTTAAAAGAGCCCCTGATTGTGAAGGAAACAGATTGACTTGAAATTGATATTGTACAATATATCAATCTCTTTATTGGGAAATAACACTGGTAGACCTATTTGGCAAATGACCGCGATTTTTGGATAATCTGCACGGAACGGAAAATAATTAGAGGTTCATCGTAAATTTGCTGTGTCACAGAAAATTATGCATGTCATCCGGAGATTTACCGTGTCGGCGGGAATTTGCCGTTTGTCCGATAAAACTGGTGTGTATTGAGTCATTGATAGAACCAGTGATGCGTGAGCGACGGTTATTAATAGATCGTTGTATATAGATGTTTACATAATCCATTATACAGTGTCGACGGGAATTAGCCGTTGGTCCGATAAAACTGGTGTGTATTGAGTCGTCAATAGAACTATTGGTGCGTGAGCGACGGTTATTAATAGCTCGTTGTGATATATACAATGTTTACAGTCAGATAAAAAAAACTGTCTTATTACCCTTTTCAGTCGAGATAATAAAGTTACTTAATATTTAAATATCGAATTTGGTTATTGTTCAATAAAGAAAACTCTATTTTAATGTGACCGATGAACAGGATGAATACACGCGGTAACTTTGAAATACACAACTACAAATATTCTCACCTTATAAAATTCTTCTTTATTGTCATGTTTAGAAAAGAAATCAGTTCCTGTTCTAATAGTCTTATAACTGTAGATGCCGTAATTCGGCAAGATGTCACATACTGATTTGACACTTGTTTAATAGAAAAATATATGTATATGTCCGAGGCCAGAGATCATTTAAATTTCATTGGCAAATATGAATTTTTACTACGATCTGATTTACCTGTGTGATCCTTTAATCTTTATTAATGAAATGCACATTTATACTCCTAGGGGTTGAAGGCATATATAAACAAAACAACATGATTCGATGAGATAATTGAATTACCGACCGTGCGAGGGCTGAACAGCCATTCAAGGTCGTTAAACACTCCCAAACAGAAAAATAAATGAACAAATTGCTTTCAAATCGTATTCAAATCTCTTTCAAATCATGATTCTGCGATTTGTTAGTACCATTTGCTTGTGATTCATTAAACAAATTATAAACAAATCAGAATTTGCCAAATTCCCTAAAACTGATTTCTTTGTGATTTCTTTCAATTGTATGATTTGTAAGCAATTTGTTTCTGTTTTTGCGTGATTTCTTTATGATTTGTTTACTTAGAATATTGTATGAAGTGATTTGAAAGAGATTTGTTAACTTTGTTAGCTAAAATGATGTGATTTCGTTATGATTTGTTTACTTAGAATATCATATTAAATGATTTGAAAATGATTTGTTTACTTTGTAAATAATCATGATGTGATTCATTGATGATTTGCTATAATGAATAAAATGTTAATGCATTTGAATTTTCTTTGTTTATCTATCTCTCTGACTTCCGGTTGAGATCAAATTCAAATTTCAAATACTGTTCTATATTAACTGCACAAAGAAGGTTGCAAGATGAGGAGTTGTTCTATCAATGATGAGAGTGGTAAGGAATCTCAGTTATTTATTTATAATTTCACACATTCAATTAATACTATTTAACATGTAAAGGTGTGAAATTTTTAAATTCAGAAACTGTGCATTTAAGTATCTCGATTTAATTTTGTACTGTCTGCATTAATTTTCAAAATAAAAATGTGTAAAAGATGTGTAAACAGATCGAGACATGCAATTAAAGACTAGCTTCCCGAGCCAGCAGACAAAATTCACTGCCAAGTTTCATGTTTTAATTTTTCATGTTTACTGGCCAGATCCCGGGCAGTAGGGGCAAAGCTACATTAGCAAATTTAGACCAAGACTAAGACTGATCACCTATATATATTCGACATGCATCCTTTTAGTACACGTGGTTGCCCAAGTTTTGTCAAATCTCGTTAGAGACAAATTCGGATGAGAAGTAAGAGAAACCTAAACAGAGTTAACGATTCGTCCCTCATCGCAACCAAAGATAGTATTCCTTTTTACAATTAGAGGAGTAGCTAAGGTAAAATGAAGACAAATGCACTTCAAAGTTTGGGGGTAGTCAGGGGCAGAAAATATTTTTGATCTGGATGTAAATGATTTAATCTGTGAATTGATGGTTGATGCAAATTTATTGACGATTTGCTTGTGCTTGCTTGAAGTAGAAATATATGATTTACTTGTGATTTGTTAAAGATCTGGTAACAATTTGTTTATAATTTCTTCATAATTTGAAAACAATTTGTTTGTGATTTGCTTGAGGTAGGATTATGATTTACTTCTGATTTGTTAAAGATTTGATAAAAATTTCTTTACAGTTTGAAAACAATTTGTTTGTGATTTGCTTGAAGTAGGAAAGCAATGATCTCTGATTTGTTAATGATTTCAAAACAATTTCTTGACAATTTGTTTGTGATTTGCTTATGAATTGGAAGCAATTTGTTTGTGATTTGTTGTTGTGATTTGTTAGCTCATTTGCATGTGAAATTTTATCACTTTCAAATCATAAAGAAATCATACGATTTGGTTATCATTTGTTACCATGATTTGTTCCTCAATTTTTTTTGTTTGGGCTTCCATTTGTTCGATGAGATAATAACAAGTTGCGAATTGTAGTCCGAATGTGTATTCTAGTATATAGGAACATTTGGACATTATTTCATATTCATAATTAATTAGTTCATCCGTCATTTGTTTTATTGAATTACTATTCAACTGTGGTTATACAAAAAGAACCGTTTATTGGAACTAAAATACAATAAACCATCTGTTTATTTGATACAGGTGTCAACATTGAATTGAAGCTTTACATTTCTGACGGACAGGGGAAAGTTTTAACCTTAGTTGATATCAGGGGTCAACTGGTATAGCAGTATGTTGGTAATACACCGACCGTCGTTTCATAATATGTATATGTATTTACGCACAATGCAGTCCTTTCAAACTCGATTTCGCCAACTCGTAGGTTGTCTTTTAGACAAAAAAGTTCCATTTAAAAGATATGAAAGTTGCGTACATGTATACCTCAATGCACGTCTTGTAAACTAATCTGTTACATTGTGAAAAATAAATAAGTTCTAATTAAAAGATTGGAGGGTTATTTTACATGAATAAAAGTTTTTCTGATCATTATTGTTTTTCAATTATTTTTGAGAGTGCGATCTTAAAACTAAGTTCGTCCTGACATGCATGGAATATTTGCCACTGGAAGTTAAGCAACCAACAATCACTCATCTTAAAATATGCCTGAGAGATAATATTCTTTTAAATTTTAATTGTTACAGTTTCTCCGTTTATTATAAAGCACTTTCAGGTGTAATGTTAAAGTGTATATTATATACATTCCGGGATGAGATTAATTTACTATAATTGCCAACAAAAAAAAAAGAAATGATGCTACGTTTCTTTTAATTAAAAATTAGACTGTAACGAATGTAGACCGAACATTTTAAATAATGAAATAATGCACGCCAAAAATATCTGTAATCAACTTGATCTTAAACTTGACTTCACTCACAAAAGAGAATGTTAAAAATAGCTCAGATCAATTGTGTCGACTGCACGAGATTTTCCAACGGCGGGAAATATCATGTAACTATAAACACAGGTGATGTTACTGACCGATTGTGGAATGTCAATTTAGGGTTAAATTTGATGTGTAATGATTGACATTATTGTGCGCGTTAAAGTTGAGGCTCTAGAAGGTTCATTTCAATTTATAACCGAAAATCTAAAATCAAGTTTTTTTTTCAAATCAACGTTTAAGTTTTGAATCTTGTGGGAGGGAAACTTTATTTTGTTTGTTTTTTAGGGGCAAAGGGGGTTACGATAAAAGTCTATAGGAAAATTAAATAAAACAATTTCGAAGGTCACAACTTGTAAACTAATGAAAACAATAATATAGCGAATTAAATAACTGTTATTAGATTGCAATAACATGACGGTTTTTTTTTGTTTCGGGAGTGGGAGTGTGATTACCTTATATACTTGAGATGTTCCATTTTCGGCATTATTTGTTTTAGTTTAACTTGTTCTCGGTGGTGGATCCAGATTTTTTTATATAAGGGGAGGGGGCACTAACTGCTAATATCATTCTTAAGTGATTCCCTATATAATCAACATTTATTTTCCCACAAAAAGGGGGTTGGCACCGTGCCATTCCCCCTATATAGCCGACCGAGCAATGTATAGCCAGTCAAGGTCGTTAAAAACTTCCATATATATGTATAGCCAGTCAAGGTCGTTAAAAACTCCCGGTTCTATTAGTTTCATTATATCTTCATCAGCATAACTGTATCGGGAGCATTCGAGTAAGGTAGCACTCCATAGATAGGTGTGT